CCTGGACAAGAGAACTTACAAATTATAGCATAGCTATTGCTGATTGTTGTTGCTGAAAAGAAAAGAAAAGAGCAAAGCACTAAGCTTCTAAATCAAATAGAACAGAAATAAAAAAAAAAAGCATTCCCTACATGCAGAGTTATTTATGCAGAGTTATTTAGACAGGTATGCTAAATAAGAGAATGAGCAGCAGGCCATATTGCACATATGGTTAGGAAGTGCTTTTTACTAGCATAAGAGACGTATGCACCATTGGAACAAACATGACATTTCAATTTTGGTACAAACAATAATACTGCTTTAGTAAAGTTTTTTAAATTGCGTAAAGTTTCAATAAGCGGTAAGACTTAAATACATGTTTAAACTTATGATAACATGCTGATCTTGTGAGTATCCCAGGTGTTCCGGTGAAGGCGATGAGTTTCCGATGACTCCGGCAGGACAAGCTAGCATTCGGTGAAGATCATTCTTTGTGTGATGAATGACTTGATGAACTCACGAGGCAAGCATCGCACCAAGACACGAGGGCGTTGATAAATAGCAAATCTATGAGTGTGGTAGGAGTCTTGCTCGCCTTGACTCGTTTCCATTGTTGCTAACGGAAATGTTAAAGTTAAACAACTAGTACATTGAAGCGTGTAAGAACAACGTACCACAGCCAATCTATAGCGTCGAACAATGGTCGCTAAAACATAATATTAACGACCAACAATTGGTCGGTATACCACAACCAACATTGTAGAAATAGACAAACGATTTACCATGGTCGGTAACAATGCTATCTTTGTGGTGTTTACTACAAATGTAAGCTATTCCCCAAACAAACATTGGATCTGCACACATTAAGAATAATACCTGATATATGGTCATTGCTGCCAGCTCTATCACAAAGCATACTGAAGCCCACTGCATCACCAAATCTATAAATAACCCGGAAAAAATATGGATGAAATGCTAAGCGGATTTACGAACCATGTATCCAGTCATTTTTAATATTTAGTTTGCAACTCTGAACACCTACTGAAACATCAGTACATGAACAAAAGCTGTAATTAAGATAAGAACTTATTACGACATTGCTGTAGTGAACAGGTACAATATTTAATCCATTAGCAATCTCACCATAATAAATCTACTCTGTACATTTGCTTTCTGATAATCTGAAAGAGGCTTCTCAAACCTTATTATTATTCTCTGGATTTTAATATATGCGATGGCATCTTGATGCAGAAAAATACAAGCCATAGCTCTAGTCTTTTAAGCACAATTCTTTAAAATTATTGTGGCGGCAATAGTAGGAGAATCACCTGGATTTTAGGAGGACAAATGATTAAGGAGAATCACCAAACTGAAGATCCATAGAAATACAGTGCTAATTAGTTACAAACCGGTAATGGTAGCGAGGAGAGTCAGAAACACAACAACAGTTCAACTTTGAGATGAACATTGCGAGCTCTTCCTTTTTTTGTAATGTTTGGATGAAGTAAGGGGTTGCCGATACATTGTGGCTGATAGATAGAACATGAACATATATCTTGTTCAATTTGTGTAGATTGCTGAATATATATTCTAGCATGCTTATGCTCACTTAACTCTTTACCAATATGTGCTTCTAATTTGGTTCATGGTGGCACCACAATAGTAGATTAATAACAGTACATAAGAAAACAGTTCCTGAACTTTGTACTGATACGTGCTGATATCTATAATTGGAACTGATTTGTTAATTTACCCTACAAGTGATTTGGATAGCTACATGTATTAACCAGATACTTTCTTGCCTTTTTTAGATCTATATATGATGAACATCATCAAAAACATATATCTTGGCTGATTAAGCCGGGGTTAATCCCTAAATAAAATTCTAAAACATGCTTTTGGCCTGAATAATAAAAACAAATGACAGAGCTTGTATGCATCCCAACGACTTATAGTGGTTCGACATCATTAGCTGTTTGTGAATTGCGATTAGATCGCGCTCGTTAGTGCATAGCAGTAGAAACAGATCAGATCAGATCGAGGCACGCAAGCAGTATAGGCTAGTAGCATGATTAGATCGAAAAAAATAGAGGAGGTAATCGACATGTACGTTACGGTTTAGGCGTCTTGCAGAGGTCATCGTCGTTCACTGACGAGGTCGTCGCCGCGAGACTCCATGGCGCGCTCGAGGTCCCGCTCGAAGCCGGCACTCCTTGCTTTGCTCTTGTCGGAGAGGTCGGCGCATGCGGCGGCCACGGCCTCCTTTTCCTCGGCGCTCTCGGCCGCGGCGGCGGAGGCGCATGGCGTTCATAACGGCTTCGGCTGGGGCAAGAGAGAAATGAATGACGAATCAATAGCGAACGGGAGGAGAGCGGAGAGTCCTTGTGACTCGTGTACCTTGAGGAGGTCGATGTGGCGATGGGCTGCGCGAGGTCCTCGGCGGGCTCCGGCGAGATGCGATCCGATGGTGGCGCGGCCCGGCCCGGCCGGCACAAACAGACGCACAGGACGGGAGGGCGGCGCTGGCGGCGGGGGGGCGGGCGGGCAGCGTGTATGCGAGGCGGCGGGGGCGGCGGGCGGGCGGGCGGGTGGGTGCGGATGGCTGGTTGGTGTCTGAGGCTTGGACTGCCGGCCGGCCGAAATCGGCTAAGTGCCCCACCCGCTTTTTTTTGAAGCGCGCCGGATCGAGGAGGCACTTTCGGCAAAGGAGGCAACTTTGCCGAGTGCTCCGATCCGGCCGTCGGTAAATTTTTATTTTTTAATTCCTTTGCCGAGTGCCTCTGTGAAGGCACTCGGCAAAAAAAAAAATTCTATAAAAATAAAAATCCTCTTTGCCGAGTGTCTTATTTTTACACTCGGCAAAAGAGCCTCTTCTTAAAAGTGCCATTTTTGACACTTTCGGCAAAGTATTTTATTTTTTTTGTTTTGGCCTCTAAGTTTTTTGTGCAGCCCTTTTAAAGGACCGGGAACTCCTCCTTAGAATTTGGGGACTTTTTGTGGCTTTTTGATATATTTAGTTACTTTATTTCGTTTACTTGAATTTTTTGAAAAATATAAATTTGAATTTTTTGTACGAATAATAGAATTTAATGATTCAAAAATGATAGTCATATTCTTGAGTGTAGTGTGAGGCCGTATCTAGGATCGGATTCGAAATTTCGGACATCTTGTTCATGAAATATGACCGCGAACTTGCGTGCGAAGTGTTTTTTAAATTCTATAAAAACAAGCGAAGTCCGAAAATCATGAAACTTCGTTGAGATGTCGTGATATCGTATGTGGAGGCTATGATAAAAATTTCAGAAGATTTCGTTACACGTTGTCACGTATGATGCTTACAAACTAGGACATCTCCATATGTGATATCGGATCTTACATGTAGAGATGTCACGGTTTGTAAGCATCGTGACGTGACAACGCATACGAAATCTTCTGAAATTTTTATCATAGCCTCCACATATGATATCACGACATCTCAACAAGTTTCATGATTTTCGGACTTCGTTTGCTTTTTATAGGATTTAAAACACTTCACGCCAAGAATTTCATGGGACATGTTTCGTGAACAAGATGTCCGAAATTTCGGATCTGCTCTCGATACGACCTCTCACAACACTCACTAACATGACTATCAATTTTTGAATCATTAAATTCTATTATTCGCATTTTCAGCAAATTTCTATTTTTGAAAAATTCAAGTAAACAAAATAAAGTAACTAAATATATCAAAAAACCACAAAAATCCTCAAATTGTAACTAGGAGTTCTGGTGCTTTTAAAAGGGCTGCACAAAAAATTGGAGGCCAAAAACAAAAAAACAAAAAAACTTTTTAGAGTCTTGGGGCATGGCACTTTCGGCAAAGGGTATCTTCTTGCCGAGTGCAGGGCATAAGGCACTTTCGGCAAAGAGGGTTTTAATTTTTAAAAAAATTTCCTCTTTGCCAAGTGCATCCACAGTGCACTCGGCAAAAAATTATAAAAAAATTAAATATTTGCCGAGTCTTGAGTGCCGGGGCACTTTCGGCAAAGTATTTTTTTAAAAAAAATTCTTTGCCGAGTGCGGATCTGGGGCACTCGGCAAAGAATTTTTTTAAAAATCAAATCTTTGCCGAGTGTCTAACGGCGGGCACTCGGCAAGAAAAGCCGTGACCGAACACCGTTTCATGGGCAGCCTATGCCGAGTGTAGAGATTTTGCTTGAGAGTCGACACATTCGGCAAAGAAGTCCTTGCCGAGTGCCCTTCTTTGCCGAAGTGCGGCACTTTCGGCAAAGAACTCTTTGCCGAGTGCAATTCTTTACCGAGTGCGACACTTTCGGCAAAGAAGGTCTTTGCCGAGTGCCCGATTTTTGACACTCGGCAAAGAATTTTGCACTCGGCAAAGTCTCTGTTTCCAGTAGTGATCATGGATGACTGCAGGCACACATGACACGTGTATTTTTTAATTATTTTTATTCAACTTTCAATATCGGTTTCAATGCGGCGGCATCACCACGAATCACAAACCGATGGTGATGGTGGTTTTCAAGCAAGCGGTGATAATGTTTGTGTAGTAGTGTTTTGAAAGTGGTTTACTGGACCCTAAATTTCTAATATTAATGCTAAAACAAATAACTATTTTGTACAACCATGCGCATAAGGGCATCTTGATTATAGATTTTCTTTATGTGGTTTCTAAGAGTGCCACATCATTTTATAGGTTTTGGTTGATGAATGAAATGATTCCTCTCAAGACACAATTTTAAAAATAGATAGTAAAGCAAATGTGAAGAAAATGCGCAAGATTACCGACATCTGAATAGATAGTGTAGCAAATGTGCATGCATGAATGTGTAACAAAATAAAGCTAGATAGATTGTGAAGCAAATGTGCACACATGAATACATAACATATTAAATCCTTAAATTAACTTATACAAACCTGCTTCTTGAGCAAAGACCAGGCATCTTCTTCTTCTAGTTTGTCGACATGGTGGTAGGGCACCTCCGCTATCATGCCTCGAGCGACCGTGTCATGTCTCGTTGTTACGAGAACACGACTTCCACATTCTCCCATGCATGGTGGTCCCAAACATCATCCATCACCAATAAGGTCATGCACCCCTCCACGGCTTCTTTAAGGGTTCGCTCTAGTGTGTCCTTTGTGTTTCTTGGTGCTTGATGGTTTCCTTCTGCTCCAGTGATTGCTCTCTCTAATAGATCAACATCGCTAAATTCTTGATTGACACTCAACCATATTCTCTTTTGAAACTCTTGTTTGATGGAGTCATGATTAAAGATCTTCTTGGCAAGGGTGGTTTTGCCAATCCCTCCTACTCCCACAATAGCATAAACCATAACATTTTTGTGTTCATGTACATTTTTGTCCTTCTTCGTGAGCAAATCCACAAGATTTCTTGTGTCCTCCTCAATCTTCTCACCAACCACACCTAACTCATCCCCCCTGTTGTCTCACGCCTAGCGTGAAGGGAGGATTCTACCTTTTTCTTGTTGTCCTCATAAGATGCAAGGTTAATGAATTTGAAGGTTTTGCTACGCTTCTCAATGTCATCTAGCCTCTCATTAAGACTTTTTATGCGATTACCGATGTCATGAGCATGGAGAGGATTCCTCATACAAAAGAGCAAGGGATTGAAGCAGCCCATATCACAGCTTCGACCCCGTTCCATCGCCTTTAGCTGGCACAAATCAAGGATGTTGGTAGCATCATACATGGCATTCCTAAGCTCTCTCACCCATGATTTCACACTCTCGTCGGTGATGTTCCTCTTGTCAGCATCGGCGAGGAACCTATTAAGGTCCCCAAGCTTCATCCCCATCTTTTTTATCTCATCGGGAACACATAAGAGCAGATGCACCTCTTCTTTAGCCATCTCCAACAACATGTCTTGGAGGTAGGATGCTAAAGCATCCAAAGACCACCGCCATTTTGCTTTGCTTTGGTATCTACAAAATCGAAATTAGATAAAAAAAATTACGTGTTTCGTTTTAAAGGGAAGGTAATATTGATGGTAAAAAGTACCGAGGCCCCTATAACCTTGGCACTATTATTCAAAAGGGAACACTGCAACATGAGATGGGTACTAGAATAATCACATTTAAATGATAACCGAGTACTTTTGGTACCAGATCATGGCGCATAGTAGCAAGCTAAAATGATAACGGAGTTAACAAATTAATGAATAGCTAGCAGACGAGAATATGATGAAGTTTGATCTATGGATGATGTTGAAATATTATATACTTGGGCACCTAAAAATCGAAAGCGCAACACCCAATCTCAAGCCATCACCCTTATGTGAGTATATTTGTGAGTGGAAGAAGAGTATAATATCTCCAACAAAAACTAGAAAGAAAGAAAGAAAGCGATGGAAAATAAAAATAGAGAGGGCCGGGAAAGACTAGGCATATGCACCTTGATTTGTAGCGGGGAAAGAGAATTAATGATGTGTGTGTCCTTCGGTTCCGGCATCAAGGAAACAGACACTGTTGAGCGATGGCTTGGACACTCGGAAGTACATAACGTTTGACCAAGTGTCGGCGTGGTTTGCCCTAGCGATTGCACGGTTGGAGATGCCTGATCGGCCTCTGGCTCGGTGTGGTGTGGGCTCTTGCTCTCTGCTTGACCAGGACGCTTGCGGAGGTGGGAGTAGGTGGTGTCTCACGAAGGGCCGAGGGCCGATAGCGAGGATTGCGGCTAGCCGACAGCGGAGGCGTGAGCTAGGAGGCGTGGGAGGTGTGCTGTGGTGGCTACTGTTTGGGGCTGCTTTAGTTGGTGAGCGAAGGCGACTTTATTTATTGTTGGGCATGGCCACCTAGTTAATCGAAATGGTAGTGGCGGAGAATTTTTTTGTTTACTCTGAATACTTCAAATATAAACACACACACACACACAACCACAAGGTAGAGGATAATGTTTATATATAGGGATTTTTGTCCACAATAAAAGGAAGTTTGTAGCACACCATGATTTTGTGTTTTGTGTCTCCAGCACACCCAAGCAAATAAAATGACTAGCTAGCCCACGGGCTCACTCTCCATTCCCTTTGCATGCGTTTTATTTCTCCATCCCTAATCTCCTTTTCCCCCTCTGGTGGCCAACAATCGTGTTGTTGGCTTCAACCAGGCACACTAGATCTCTCCTTTGCCATTGACGATGTCTGAGATGCCACCGCCCAACAACAAAAAGGGGCCACCCAGACCCATCAGCGAAGTGCAATGAGATTTTTTTTGTACCAAAGAGAGACTCTAGAAGTTTCTAGCTCCGTCGCTGGCTACTGCAATTTGTCCATCATCAACTTCTAGCGCTCGAAATCCCTACCTCTACCTTCGCGTATTTTTCCCCTAACCACTCCACCCAAGATGTTTGTGTTTTTTGAGACCATAAGACGTTTATGTTCTTTTGGGATATTCGTCCTCTCCATTTTATGTCATATGGTTTTAAAATGAGTATTTGGGATATGAAATGAGTTCAAATGAAAAATTGTCAACTACAAAGTTTTATAACTTTCCGAGTTCTACAACTTTCCTTTTGGTCATTTCTCCATTCGAGGTCATTTAAAGAATTTCAATTTTAGATGTGAGGAAATTCAATCATAATTTTCCTTGGACAGATGATTTTAAATGAAAAAGTTGTCAACTACAAAGGTGCATAACTTTTCAAGATCTACAACTTTTGTTTTGGGATTTTCTCCATCCGAGGCCATTTAAAAAGTTCAAATTTTGAATTTGAGAAATTAAACATAATTTTTGTTGAATAGATTATTTCAAATGAAAACGTTGTCAACTACAAAGTTGCATAGCTCTTCGAGATCTACAACATTTGTTTTGGTCGCTTCTCCATCCGATATCCTTAACTACAACTACACACCCACTTGTGACTATAGAACATATGGATTGCTTTGGTATTAACTTTTATGAAATCTTGCAAACCAAATAGAGAGACATCATAACAACTTTAAATAAAAAAGTTTTGATCCACAAAGTTGCATAACTTTTCAAGGTCTACAACTTTTGTTTTGGTCGTTTCTTCATCCGAAATCCTTAACTACCACTACACACTCACTTGTGACTATAGAGCATATGGACTCCTTTGATATTAACTCTATAAAATCTTGTGGTGTATATTTAGACATTCAAATGATCTCAAATAAAAAAAGTTTGTACTAAAAAGTTATAGATCTTATCGAGTACTACAACTTTGGTATAGTCTTCATCAAACATCATATGAGAAAGTTACTAAGTTTAAATGACTGCTGAATCAAGCCATGAACCAATAGTGATAGTATCACTGGTGCTTTTAGCTAAAAATCGGAGTGATGACCCAATATTATTGCCGGTTCATGGCTCAAACTGACAGTGATATCATTGCCGGTTTTAGCCACAAACATGGTCCAATGTGAAAATGAGTCGAAGGGAAGAGAGTGTCAAGGGCAATATGGTCCTTTGACTGGGCATGGTGTGTCACGGACAAAACTAATGTTTTCGCAACGTGTTTGTGACTAATTCATTGAGTACAATGCGCTGTGCGCAAATCCACTCTTTTCTGAGTGTCCTGGGGACAAAAATCCCTATAAATATCAACTGATGAAGCAACCACACCAGAAGGGAACAGAGATGGGGACAACATGGAACTTTTGTATAACTGGAAACCACGATGATATATATATATATATGGGGAAAAGGTTGGGTTTGAATTACAACAGATGGTTGCAATCAACTCTGGAATTACGAATAGCTTATGATCGGCCCTTTATATCTAAAAAAAAATGATCGGTGGCTGGTCCAATGCGACCTCTAGGGACTAGTTAAGATTATTTATTTATTTTTTAAAAGAAACAGATCGACAAGTGCTGAATATGGAGTGCTTACAATTACAGAACAAGATGATCGACGAGCTCGCTCGCTGGCAGCTGTCACCTGGCACCGATCGGACCTGTGCGCCTTGAGAATAGATCGACAGAGGGATGATTGGATCAACAGATGAAGCAGATGAATGAAGCAAACCAGAACGGAAGAGAGGAAGGGGGCGACATACAATTTTTGTATAACTGGAAACCACGATGATGGGTATCTTCGCCGAACAAATATGGAAGAAGTTAAAAGATGGGGTTTGAATCAAAACAAATGGCTGCAATCAGCTCTGCAAATAAGAATGGCTTATTCGTCAGTGGTTCGTTCAATGCGATCTCTAGGGAGGGTCAATATTTGAAATAAAAGAAAAGAAACAGCTCGAGGAGAAGTGCTGAATCAATATTGGGTGCTTACTGCTTACACAGTTACCGGACCACGATGATGGGTATCTTCGCCAAACAAAAAATGAAAGTTGGGTTTGAATCACAACGAATGGATGCAATCAACTCTGCAAATACGAATGGCTTATTATTCGTCAGTGGTTGGTTGGCTGAATACGACCTCTAAGGGAGGGTCATTCTTTTTCATTATTTCAAATAAAAGAAAAACAGACAGATCGAGCAGAAGTGCTTACAGTTACCGAGCAGGACTGCAAGACGATCGACGAGTTCGCAAGCTCGCAGCTGGCTCCTTCCGATCCGAGGATCTCGCGCCCGGAGACGAGAGTGGACGGATCGATCAGCACAACAGTGATGTGTGTGACATGAATGAATGAATGAATGAGAGAGACGCGTAGAAGCAGAGGAGGCCTGCATGCTTTATACAACGACGGAGGGGAGAGGACGCTTGTATCCACCTGGAAGCAAGCAAGGGATACATTTTCTGACACGAGGGCCCGGGTCGCGTTAGCTGCGCGCCCAGGAAGGAATGTATCCTGAGTGCTTTTGCTTTAGGCCGCGGCGTTGGAAGCATGTTGCAGCGATCCATCCTGATGTCGTGTGAGGGCTTTTGCTTTTGGACACTGGAATTGGAAACGGCAAAGCATATGTTGCAGCGAGAAGCAAGGAATAATATATACAAGCTGGTCATGTGCTTTTGACCATCTGAAGCATGTTGCTTTAGGCCGCGCAGGGAACCATCTGAAGCATGTTGCTCCCGTGCATTGCAGAGCAAAATGCTGTAGGAGTACAACTAACTAGAGATGCCCTATTGCCCTGAGAAACGCAACAAGTAGGCAACGCCGTTAGGAAAAAGCAAAGGATGGCCAAGGATCCGATTCCCTTCAGGTTGATAGGGCCGTTGCACAAATTAAACTAAGAAGGTAATTAGAGCCAGTTTTGCCAGCTGGGAGGAACTGGAAGGCGTGCAAACTCATATGCGCGTCTGGGCAAAGCCGGATGAGCCAGATGACGGGTAGTTCCTCGGCACGCCGCATGGGACGGCTGGGAGCCATCGGAGCGGAGCACACGGTTATATGGGTCGAAGTCGACGGCACGGTAATTGGCAAAGACAAAAACAGTGCCGTCAGCGTCGGGCTTCGTCGAACGGGGCCTGATCTTTCACAGCCAGTGATTTCCATATAATGATGATGATGCTTCTCATCAGCTCATCAGCATTACTCGTGAACTGTCGATGGCTCGATGCGTTTTTTTGGGCTAGAGTAAGACCGTCTTGGATGAATACTCCTACTTCCTTCTTGTGAATTTTCAGGGACTCAAGAGTCAACTTCCCGTCCCCGTCGAGCCGAGACCACATCAAATTTCTCAGGCACCCGCACCGCACCATCGATCCTCAGGCGGGCAAAGGCAAGGCACGGGACTAGGATAACGCAGTTTTACAGCTTTCCGAATTCCGATGTAAAGCAGCCCGTTTGTACCCTCCGCCGGCGGCCTTGTCTCCCCCATCGGCTGCAGGACTTTGATGTAATCAGGTCTTCTTTCGAGGACCTCTTTGTAAAATGGCTACT